TTTGATGAATAAAGAATAGGAATGAATTAACGTCGTTTGCAGTTCTCCCCGCCAGAGACACCTTTTTTCATACCACTAAATAAAGGAACTTTTCGTTCAAGGGCTATGCTTGATACGATTATAAAATCTTCCTATTCCAGCACTATTATTATTTATCTATTTGTTTATATTGTGTTTATATTGCTGCGCAGCAAAGCTAATTTGAATATTATTTACTATGACTTCCAAGCTATGTTTGAGCGTTTCAGTCAGTTGTATGAGATAAGTGTCTGGGGGTTAGATCTGTGCGTATTAATAGGTCTCTGTGGTCTGATGGATATGACATTCCTTTTGATAGAGAGAGGGAGAGTGAGAGAGAGAGGGGGGGGAGAAAGGTTGAAGGTTCGAATCAGAGACACTTTTTTTAATAATAGAAATTTTCGTTGAAGGGCTATGCTAAATACGATACAGATTGTTCCTATTCGAGCATATTTATACACAATACTGCTATTTTATTATTAATGATTCATAATTTTGTTGATTACCTTACAGAAGAAACTAATCACGTAGCAGACTAGTGTTGTACCAACATGCTGAAATTCTTGAAAAAGATTGCTTTTATACTTATGGTTGTTACAACTCTCGGAAACTTTGTGATATTTTTTCATCAGATGGATTACATTGACTTACACCGTAAGAAACTACATATTTGTTGTATGTTTGACCTTGCGTCGTAATTTAAACGGCTATATTATGGCCAACAGTAGTATTTCAAGTTGGCACAAATTTACATAATTCATTCTAATAATTATGGTTTTCTGCAATACGGTAGCCATATAATATTTCGATGGTAACCCCGTAGGTCTAAAAAGTAATTATTTTTATTTTTGTTCATTTGAGGGGAATGATACGTGCTAACACATCATATCAGAACTGTTCAGTTGTTCAAGGTGTTAGGGTTCGCCCTGTGGATTCCACCAGGGCTAAACCTGGTCTCCGTCGAAAGCTGTCAGACATCTTGGCGGACAACTTAGACCCCACCCGTCTACAAATCCTGATGACAGTAAATTACCTGAATTGATCCTACTAATGATTTAACTCCAAATTAAACTGTCATTTCTGGGAGCTCGTCTCCTTTTCTAAGAGACGTCTCTGCTTGCGTCTCGGAGTTTAAGTTAAATTTATTGAGTCTCAATATATATTGATAGAAATATTTTTGTTTGTAGGTCCATCAACAGATAACAGACTGATTGGAAGGCAGTTGGAAATAGAGAGTGTAACTGGTCAAGGTTCATTGACCTTTCCAAAGCATCATCCCATTGGAATGCTCCTCAGTCACA